AGGTTCCTTTGCGGGTTTACCTGCTTGTTTTGCAACGGTGTTCATGGTACATGGTGTGTTTGTGTGTGTGTTTTGTGTGTGTGTGTGTGTGTGTATGTACATCTGTGTGTGTGCGCGTCTGTGTGTGTGTGCGCGTCTGTGTGTCTGTGTGTTGCTACATGTCCTGTAGGGGCCTCTCAAACAGTTCTGGAATGACCCAGGCTTGGACGAGAATGAGCGGTTCCTGCGTGACTACATTCTGAACCATGGCTATGTCGACAGGGAGGCTGATGTGTGAGTAATGCTCCTTGGTCATGCATGTCATGTTGCTGTGTGTCTGTCGAGCTGGGGGGGGGGGAGTACAGGCGTGCATGTGCTGATGTCCTTTTCTGTTCTCTTAGAAGCCTTTAGAATGTATTGCTACAATAATAACAACTGTTCGGTATGTTGACGTGTCGATAATGTATCATGAGCAGTGGCTCATTCGGTGATGAATCCTCCGGTCCATTTGCTTTTGATGTCTAGCATTCCAACGTATGATGAGCTAATGGCGGAGGACGTTGGTGAGGTGAGTGTATTACAACTTACGTGTGTTCTTCCGCCCCCGTTTAGGTCAATTCTAGGCACCTGTGTGCGGGCGTGCATGTGCTGTAGACCGTTAACCGCATTGTTTCGATGGAGTTTTATTTTCGGTAAAGGCCCCTTACACGCTACATAGAAAATCGCATTTTTGTTGCGTTCCTGTAAAATGTACCGTGCAAACGGTCAGCTTTTCGCGGAGAGACTGAGAGAGACAGAAAGAAAGAGAGAGAGAGAGAGAGAGAGAGAGAGAGAGAGAGAGAGAGAGAGAGAGAGAGAGAGAGAGAGAGAGAGAGAGAGAGAGAGAGAGAGAGAGAGAGAGAGAGAGAGAGAGAGAGAGAGAGAGAGAGAGAGAGAAAGGGAGACTGAGAGAGGGAGACTGAGAGAGACAGAGAGAAAGAGGGACAGAGAGAGACACACACACGTACACAGATAGAGAGACTGAGAGACAGAGACAGAGAGAGAAAAGCAAGAAGCAGTGGGCACAGCGCATGGCTCTCAGTGTGTGAACAAAGGTTGCCAGGGCAGTGTTTACTTCTTCTCCAGATGACGGGTTTATCACGACAGGCGGCATAGGAGCATAGTTCCGATAGCAAGTCAAGTGCCATGGGATTGGTTGCGGCGCTCAGTGATGTTGTGAAGACCGCAGCAAAGGAGACCTGCTTTGCTTGCCAAGTGGGGATCGTTGGAGTTCGTTGCAGCCACAATAGGGAATCGCTCTTTCAATCGTCCGAAAGCGCATTCTTTCCTGATCTGGGCATAGCTGAAGTCCGCTTGAGCAGGTGTGATGTTTGCACCATTGAATATCTTCATAAGGATTGGACTGAGTGCAAAGGCTCCAACCAATTTCTTTGTCGTCACATCGCCAGTTTTCAAAGTTGCCCCACTCTCTCGTGCTGAGCTTGGCTCTGAGTTCACTGTTGTTGAAAACAGCCGCATCTCCAACGCTACCCGGTGCACCAATGTCCACGAAAGTGAACAGGCCCCTGGCATCCACACACGCTAGCAACAGGATTGCCGAGTGCTAGGCCCCTGGCATCCACACACGCTAGCAACAGGATTGCCGAGTGCTGCTTATAGCACCAGTATGTATGACCATAGTGCTCTGGCTTGACAATCCGTGTGAACGTACCGTCAACAGCACCACAGCAGAGAGGTAGGCTGGCCAATTCTTCAAATTGTCTCATCGTGTGATGCAGCTGTTTGCCAACCGGAAACAGGATGGTGTCAGCAGACACAGGGCCTACCAACAAGTCAACTAGGTCGTTGACAATCACACCAGCAGTGGTCGTGCCGATATGGTATAGAGCACCGATTTCTGATAATGTTTCTCCCTGACAGAGGTACATGTAGTACAGGAGAATAGCCAAGCATTTGCCAGAAGGAATAGTCCGTCGCAAATGAGTACTCTGCTTTTCAATCGGGTGCTGGTATTTTTGCAGCAGAAAGCAGAAGGTTTTCTTTTCCATTCTGAAGTTTGACATCCAGGCATTCCTCCACCAACCAGGAGATATAACTTTGGCATTCTCCCATATTCCCAGCACTTCTTTCTCCCAGAAGCCACACCGTATTCCAAATTCATTTTCAGGATGCGCAGTCCACAGTTGATGTCCAATACGATACCCGCCTACTCCATTCCGCAGCAGCAGATTGAAAATTCCAGAGCAAAGGAATAAAGAACACGTCTGATCGGGCATCTGCAACCCATCCCAAAGGTCAAGGAATTCAGCCTCAGAGAATCTCAATAATCCTTGAAGGTCGCCTTCTTCTCCTTGCTGGGGTCAGTCGCAGATCCATATCGAAGTGACAGCATTTCACCAACAGTCAACATTCGACAAACATTTCTGCGGACCACGAGCGAAGAGAAAAGTTTATTTTTAAATGTCCCGCACTATCTCCACGGCAGCACCGGTGAGGCGGCAGTTGTCATAGAAAATTTTATGAAAACACAAATGTCTTTTCAGGTGTGCAATGGAACTGAACGGGACTTACTTGAAAGTGACGCATACGCTAAAAAGCAACATTATACTTGAACGTAGTGTGCAAGGGGCCTAAAGGGGCTGTCCAAGTTGTCCAAGTTTTTATTGAATGCACACGGAGAACTGCCAAGTACCACTGCATGCCAAAGATTACAACCAATGGTTTGTTGAAATTCGTTTTGCCTGCAGAAAGCGTGGGAGGGTGGGGTCTGAAAAATACTAAACTTTTTTGTTTCAAAATTGTTAACCCCGAATGGCTCCTAACTTTGGCATAGCCTGGCTGCATGTCAATGGTACATCTTTGGACGATCGAAGAAGCTATAGGTGATGAGAGCGGTTGAGACGAAGGCCGCAAACCAGCCAAAAAACTGCAGTGCGATACTGAAAAATGTAATGCTACCAAAACCCGGATTTGGGAATATCCTGTACCGAATATATTGCACCACCGAACATTTCTGGTTTTACAGTCTGTGTGTATGTGTGTGTGTGTGTTAGTATTTTTTGTAGACATGTTCGTCAATGTGGTATCAAAACATTGTGTGTTCTTTCTTGCTCCCAACAGGATGAGGATGCTGTTGACAATCAAGAGCAGTTCGAGAGGAAGTACAACTTCCGCTATGAGGAGCCGGACGCTGAATTTGTACGTGCTCACGCGTTCTATCTTGCCATGGTTGTATACTTGGCACTGCTGTGAAGCTAGGTTCTATCTTATGACTGTATTCTTGTCACTGCAGTGGCGCAAGGAATTTGTTGCTTGTTTATTTTTGCATGGTTTTACCATGGCTGCAGTGTGTTTGTACTTCTGGGCAGCAGGATTACTTTCGGCAACTTTCCAGTTTTTTTTGCAGAAGAACGGGTACATACTTGGATAGCTAATTTATAATTCTCATCTGTGTAACTTTACGGCGTCGGATTACTTGTGCCTGTTGTCTTTCCAACGTGTAGCAACCATCTTTTATTTCTTCATCATTCGTTTTATGTGCAGGTTAAGCGATATCCCCGAACAACAGCCACGTCTGTTCGTAAAGCTGATGACAGTCGCAAGGAGAAGCGAAAGGCTGTCATAGAACGCAAGAAACAGGTGCGTTATTACAATTTGATACTGTGGAGTGTTCCTCTCGTTTCCCCACTTGCTTATACTCCTTGTGTTTTGCTTATTATGAGATGGTGATTTCCAGGCTGGGTCTCATGACTTTGTGTTACTGCACTGATGAGTCCGGAAAGGACGAAACAGTTCTGTCCACAGATTGGGATAATTGTGATGTGGTTAAAGTACAGCCGAGGTATACTAGTGGATATCGTCAAGTGATGTTCTTGACCAACTGACACTCTTGCTCTTTGACTTGTGCGTCCCGCTTATGCGATTATGTCAACAATAAGGGCCGATTTCCACTACGGTACCGTGAGTGCCGTGCCGTGAGTACCCATGGTGATTTGCTCACGTGAGGGGCAGTTTTGGCGCGAGTTCATTCCGTGGGTCGTGCCGTACCATGCCGTGGACATTCCGGTGCCGAGGGCCTCTGAGGGGTGGAAATGGCATGCCGTGGTATTCCGTGAGGTCGAATACAATGCGTAGTAGGTATTTTACTACTTCCTGAAAGGAAGTTTTTTCTTTCTTTAGTGTTTGTGTTACAAAGTTTTTTCTTGGCTTTTGGCTTTTCGATTGGTTGATTTTTGAGCTTTCTCCAATCATCTCCCCCGCTATTTTTCCTCCAGACCAAAGTCAGAAATTGGTAAAAAAAATACTAAAAATGGTGATCTGGCCTGCCGACGGAATGCACGGAACGACTGTGCGCAGGTGTAAATCACTCTCGTCTTCAAGCTCGTACCGTGGGGTACACGTGACCCACCCAAATCGTCGGCACGGCACTCACGGTACCGTAGTGGAAATCGGCCCTACGGTGGTATCACAAGCATGGACTGGGATCACTCAGTACAAAGCATACGATGATGTCATTCGCATAATCCAAACTGCTCAGTGGGATTTTGGCTGACGCAAGACTGGCCAGAAAGGCCATGTGTAGTGTCACTTTGCAATAAAGTCGTACGATCAAATTTGACTTTCAACTTGCAAACTCTGTGTTCCTTCTCGTTTCTGAATACATTTTCACAATAGGAAAAAGAAGAACGAGAGGCTGAGCTGAAGCGTCTGAAGAAGTTGAAGCGGAAGGAGATCCAGGAAAAGCTATCACAAATCCAAGGTGGGTTCTAGGGGTCAAACGGGTGTACCTTTAACTAACGAACGGGTAATTTTTTTAACGGGCGGGTTAACGGGTACCCTTTAGCAGCCATATTAATTTTTTTGCGCATTTCTCACATAAATCATGATTTAAATTTGTATATTCTCAGGTTGTATTTTGATACCACATTATGATTCGTGTCTCATAATAATATTATGGCAATGACGTTCCAAATGAATGTCATCCGTACATTTGCCCATGTACACAACTTCACAGGCAGTTACAATCGTACATGGTCCTAGTGCTACATGTATTTTGATACATGTACGCAAATCAACTGCAGATCGATGTGATTCAAGCCATGCAAGGACAGAGTAGTTTAGCAAAACTTCCGTGATCTCGCGCGATCCTATTTGCTATGTTCGCAGAGAACTGGTACTCTTCGTATTCAGAAGATGTTCGCACCCATAGCTAGCCGGGGTGCCTGACACAGCTGATGTGCTGCTGGCCGGCTAGCTGCTAGTTCTCGTTGAACTCGTGAAACGAATCTTCACAAATCCGTAATCTTGTATGCAATATTTCGAACTACTTTTCAACTAAACCAAGCTCGTCGATTGAAAATGAAGGAACAAACTACAACCATGAGTATCATAGCTACCACCTACGGACATCACCGTGTGTGACACTCCGACTGGTCACTCAGCCCAATGACACTAGTTCATCTTCAAGTACTGTGGCAGGTTCGATGTCGGAGAACCATCGTAACTTTCTAGTAACTCAGCTGCCATACATATTGATGTCGGAGAACCATCATCATGATCATAACTTTCTAGTAACTCAGCAGCTGCCACCTCGAACGAGTTTCAAGTCTTGCATTTTCTCACAGCGCAATCAAAAACCTCCAGTAGGAGGATTTTTACTTGCACTAGAGTGGAGAGAACGACTGTCTTTCAGCCTGCTCCTGCCTGACAAAGTCGAAAGCGGGAATGCACTGGAAAAAGGGAAAGAGTATAGGATCATCGAAATCCAAGCTCCTTTTTTTTTTTTTTTTACAAACGGGTATCCTTTTGCTAACGGTACCTGAGATTAACGGGCGGGTACCCGGGTGCCCGGTACACCCGTTTGACCCCTAGTGGGTTCCTTGCACGTTTTTGGTGTGGTATTTTATAATTTTACCCAGCTCTCCTGTTGTGTTGGGGACATCCTATTCCCTCCTCGTAACTTCGCCCACGCTCTGTAACATGGCATTATTTGTAGGGTCAGTCTTGACTTGCTTTCCACCTCTAAAACATTTGCCATGTCACACTGGGGTGACAGCATGGCATGGTATGGTATCCATTGTAAATTTGCGATTGGTGCTTTCATGTGCGGTATGTTCCGTCTCCCGTTGCTTCGATCCCTATAGATATCACTGGTGTTGGTGTGGATGTGGACAAGATTGACTTAGATGGTGACTTTGACCCTGCCAAGTATGACGAGGCGATGAAGGTGCGTACACTATTTCAAAATAGTTCATTTCAAAACTATAGACGCGTAGGGTTTTTGAAATATTTCAAATTTGGCTGGAACTTTTTGAGAATAGTTTTCGGAATATTGCTCAGGATCGCTCCACAATTACTCTCATATAGTTTCTAAAGGATCGGATAACAGACGCCCAATTTGGAAAAATTTATGCACAAAGTGATCACAGATTTTATGTGGTATAGATGCTGGCATAACGGTTTTTGCCTAGGTACGCGTCTATAGTTTTGAAATGGACTGTAGTCAGCAACGGCTAACCTATGGTCGTTACCCATGACTTGTTCACCAATTTTTTATGGTGTGTAGTTTTATGATGTACCCGTCCTGTAGCATGGCACATCATATGTGATGTACCCGTCCTGTAGCATGGCACATCATATGTGATGTAAGTACTAGTAGGCCATTCAGGCATCATGATAGCCATGTGGAATGGCTGCATGTGGCATCATTGCCATGTGGCTGTATCCATGCTGTAGTGATGCTAGGCTTGGCCTGTTCCACTTGTCGACGCTGATGATGTACTCTTCCCTGTCTGTATCGGCGGATGCTTACAGTCCAGCTAGTAGAGGCCCGTCAAGCATTATATTCTGGTTTAGCCTGAGCTGATTATGTTTCCCAACACAATAGTACTTCGAAGCATAGCCAGCTGCAATGTGGATGTGCAAACTTTCTTTTACCAGCCTTTTTTATTTTATCTGCTTGAAACACCATTATTTTGGTCAAGACCTAATGATGTAGTGTACTTCTCGTGTCACTATTCTTTCATCGCAAACCGGTTCCGTTTTTAGGAAGCATTCAGCTCCGATTACTATGATGTTGAGGAGTCAGAGAAGCCTATCTTTTCGGACCTGGAAGATGGCAGTGAAGGTCAGTTTATCAAATATGCTGCATCCTGGTTGCATGTCGTATAATGTTGCCAATGGACAGCTGAGTTGTGCAGTGTTCTAAATTGATTTGCGTCACTGTGATTTTCACCCATGAGGGCATCGTCAGGATAGGTGAACATTTAGAAGAAATTCTCTTTACAGCGGTGTAGCCCAGGACTGGTGAAGAGTGCAGACTGTCCAAGCTTGCCACCGTTCCAAAGCAGGACACCTATATAAAAGGTACACAAAGGCAATTGTCTCCCATGTAAATGTACACAAATGTTTTGGGTCGAAGCAGGACTGTCCTGCTCAAAGCAGGACGGTTGGACAGCCTGAGAGTGTGTTGTGAATGCTTCCACCATCATGACATGGCTACAATGGAGCGTCAACGTTCTAAAAGAAACAATCTAAGTTCCTAGGAAAGGTGCTCCCCACACCGGAGCTCGCGCTTTACCGCAGACTGACTTGACACTTGGGTCGAATCCAATGCTCCATAGTACCACCGCAGAATGCAAGTTTCTAACTTGGCTACTAGTCCTTCGTACCATCATCAGTAGGTACATGTACTTATCTGTGTGCTTGATCTTCCTGTTGTGCCTGTGCAGAGGATGTAAGTGATGTGGATGAAGTGGCTGCGGGATGTTATGGAGACTACAGTGTCGGTAGGTGCAGTGCCAGCATGGTATTTAATGGTGTGTGTTGTCGTCATAGTGCACCGTCCTTACCGAGAGTATGCAGCTGTGAATATGGGGCCAGTACGCAGCACGCTACCCATATTACGTAACTTGCCCGCATTACGTAACTTGCCCATGGCATCACCTTCTGTACTCGTGCATAGCTGCAGCACTGGCCATATTGAAGGGTCGAGCATCTTATCTTTGTTTTCCTCTCTCTACCCGGGTGTGTATTGGCCATTGGGTGTGGACAAGTTCTGGAATCTCACTGTTCAGGTTCAGCGCAAACCCTGAGTGTGCATCAGTGTTCATGCGTAGCTTATGCCACCTGTGTGCTGTAGTGCTTTAGCCTCAGGTGCACATCATCAATCTTGTGCTGTTTAGTATTGGATGACTTGAAGTTGTGGAAATAAACTAGTCAAAGTGTGTCCTGTTGCACATGCGCTAGTAGGTGCTTTGGCAATGTTGTGATGTTTGAACTACTTGGAACTTTCCCCTCTTTGCTCCGACTTTAACCATGTGCCTTCCAAGTTAGTTGGAAGGCTGTTGGTTTGCACACTGGAGATGTGTTAGAGCTAGGTGTCAGGTCGTTGAATGTCTGTCTCAGTAATCTGTCGACATGTCAGGTCTGTATCTAGTTATCGCACTTTCTGACTGCATATCTTGTTACAGTGGTGGACAGTTCTTTTTACTTTTTGTTGTGTTGTTTGTTTGGCTTTTGTCCTCTTGGTCCATTCTTTCCTTGACTTGCCTCTAACCTCTATGGTGTTGGCTTGATGTACAGTTGAACCATCTCAAGGTGGCGGAGATGAAGAGGAAGAACCGCAACAGCACGCGGAGGGTGACTACCATGGAGAAGGAGGAGAAGACGAGGAAGAATTTAATGTACGTCGGCTACATGTGTGCTTCTTTCAACTCCTCTGAAACCTTTGCCTGTGCCATCACGTCGGGACTGTCACGTTTTCCCATAGCACCCACTATTGTTTGGTGACATGAGCTTTGCTGCAAGCTCATCCTAGAGAGTTATACCATCCTGTGCCAAAATGAGGTCTTTTAACGTTAAATTGAAGTAGTAGTTTGTGTAATACCGAGTACTTTGCTGGATAGCAGTGGATACACTGGTGGAACATTCTGGATACTGTTACAGCTGTGCTGAATGGCAAAGAGGAAAGGAATATGCCAACATGTGTGCATCATTTTCCTGTTTTGTATGTGCTCATGATCCATGACGCCTTACAGATGGATGCCGACTATGACCCCAGCGCAGCCACCAAGTCAAAGAAACAGCAGAAACGAGACAGAAGACGGCGCAGGCATGGCGTAGACGCAGAAGATGGCACACTACCTGTTTATAATCCCGGTAAGACCTCGTGGTCATTGCCCACCTTCTCCTGGCTCCAGTATCTTTGCCCACTACTCAAAGACATGTTGTAGTATTAGATTTTAGGCCACATTAAAATGGGGGGGGGGGGGGGGTTCCAGGCAGAAGCGTAATATGCAAGCATATAGCATGATGGACATCAGCGGAATGTACGGTATGAGAATGGCTAGAAAGAAAGTCTGACTACACAATGACAGTGTTGGGCAGATTTTTTGACTTGGGAATCCCAAACGTATGACTGATTTTTGGAAAATAAATAACTTTTAGGGTCAATCGATTTCGGATTAGGCCCCAGAAACTCGATTTTTGGGGGGTCCTTTAGCTATGTATTGTTTGTTGATGTACTGTAAGACATGTATATATAACGAGGAAGCAAATCTAACGTTTTAACGGATGACATTTCTTCGTTATAATAAGATCCGTTGAGGCCGTACTGCTTCTTATATGCTGTGTGTGGGTATGGCAGAATACTGCAAGATCGTTAACATATCTTCTCGTTAACCTATGAATTTTGGACAATCGTTAAATTTGCGACTCGTTATAATAACATGTCTTACAGTATGTTGAATTTGGGGTTTCCCTGTGCTATCGTTGTGCAGAGGAAAAGACCCTTCAGGAATACCTGGACGAGTACTTCAAGCTTGATTACGAGGACAAGGTTGGCGACACAAAGTGTCGCTTCAAGTACCGTGAAGTTCTGCCAAATTCCTTTGGCCTGTCGACAGAGGAGGTTAGTAACGCCAGTAGTGTTTGGCAGTGTCCTGTCTCCTGATGCATGTTACCAAGAGTACATAACCCCCAAGAGTGTGCAACTGCCTGCACAACCTCTATGCAGTGCTGCCACGGCAGAACTTCACATCACGTGACATGGTTCAAAAGGTTACACTGGAAAACAGTGCAAAGTGATCACAAGAGAGTTGTACCCAAAGCTGGGTTGTATAGGCTTCTTACAACCCTGTATCAATCATGCACAGAGTGCAAATAATGTGTACGGGTTCATCACGTGATGTGAAGTTCTGCCGTCGCAGACCCCATAGCTGGAGTTGCACACTCTTGGGGGTTATGTACTCTTGATGTTACTAGGGCAGCTACTGCTTTGTACTTGACATATCAGCAAGGCATGTTTCGATGTTGGCGACATGCAGTCGTGCTATTTCTATCTCAAACGCATGGGTTGCCATTTCAGAACTACTTCCTGTGGTCACTTTGTCAGGGTTTTCTGGAGCCCCGGTGTTTTTTTCTCGCTTGGCTGCTTGGGGCATATGTACATTTTTTCCCCCGAGTAGACCGTTTATGCTTTCGCCTTTGCTGATAGCTCTGTATGGGTAGTGTCACGTGTGCAAGCTCCCAGGGTGAGTGTAACGTTGATTTGCAGTTTGTTTGTGTCATAAGCTAATGCGTATATCATAATATGAGCTCAATACATGTACTCGTAGTATTGAGCACACCATGTTATTGTTACAGTGATCCTTATGATGCCTTCTTTCTTTCTTCTGCCTCGTAGATTCTGACCTGTGAAGATCGGGAGCTGAACAGCTGGGTGTCCTTGAAGAAATCTGTACAGTACAGGTCAGTCCATGCTGTCTTTCTCTTTCAAGAATCAGCTCTGAGAACACTCTAAATACGAACAGTGAACGTCAGGTCGCTGAATGTCAGCACCACTTCAGCCAGTGCCGTGCTAGCTGGTGCATGTTCGGACTCGCCGCCATCTTGGTTATATTAGTGTAGGACAGCAATGGATAACGTGTACGCCTTTGGTCTTCTATTTTATTTCAAATCCTTGGCGCTTCATCTGTGTGATAGAATGGTTTGAAGATTCCAAGTACAGACTGTATAGTGATCACAACTTCACACGTCCCCAATTTGGAATTTGTTGTAAGTTGTAACTTTTCTGCCCTGCGCTGCCTGTACAGTGAATGAATGCAGGGACAGAGACTGCTGTTGTCATTGTGAGTATTCAATTGTTGAACGTGTCATCCGTGATGTGCCTTGCTATGTGCAGAGAGAAGGACGAGGAGCTAGCAGATGTACGCAAGTACAAGAAGCGTGCACGCGAAGGAAAGCGGAAAAGACGCATTCTTGCAAGTGCCTACAAGTAAGAGCAGCGTTTCTGACGGTTTTTACTCTACGTCTAGTCTATTGCTAATTATTTTTCCGGTTTAATTAATACATGCATATAGGCCCTAACTTCAAGACACATGTTCATGCTCGAAAGGTTGCCCTGCCCACCAAACTCGGAATGCTTCAAACGAACCTTCCCTTCTTGCCGAGCGTCTTGCCACCGATGAAGGCATTATTAACTGCAGAATCACTGCAACGCCAGTAGCTGACAAAGCACCATTTCTGGCTGTGTCAGTGGGCTGAGAGATGACTTTCGTTAATTTGATTATTTATTTGAAGGCCTCTGCAAAAACACACCAGGCTACACCAACTTGTAGGAATTTGCCAGGAAACTAAATGCCAAATTAATGACGGGCAGCTGATGTGTTTAGCATTTGAACAGCACATAGACTGGTAATTGCTGCCACCCTTTGTATTATCGGAGCTGCTACTAACTTTAACATGGAGTGCTGCTAAGTTTTTAAAAGGGCAATACTTTGAACGGAGTGTGAAGTGTATGTGCAGATGCCGCGATGGCCAGTCGTGCCCTATGGCTTGTTGAATGCATGCAGCTCGGGTGGACTATCCCCGACTGACAAAAATGTCTCTCTCTGTTCCTTTGTGTTCAGGCCAGTCGAGGAGGATGAGGATAAGGATGAGGATATGGATAAGGACACGGAAAGTACAACGCCGACTCCAGCCGATGATGATTCTGCTGCTGCAGAGCCACCGAAGAAAAAGAAACTGAAGCAAAAGCAGTACCATGCCCAGCGACAGAAGCAGCAACAACAGTCTCGGCCATCCCCAGCAAACAGCTCTGTGGCTGACAGTCGTAAGCAACTGTTCGGCATTGATCCGAACCGCAGTAAGCGCCAGAAGAAGAGGAAAAGAAAGGCCAATGGCGGCAGTAGCACTGCCGGTGCTGGTCAGTGAATCTTGCACATCTGACGTTCAGTTGCTATCAGGGATCCATTTTTAGAATTGATAATGCTGTGTTGTATTTGATTGTCCGACTGTGTGTTGTGTTTGTGACTTGAGTCAAGCGCTGCCATGCTGGACATTGCAAGCCGACTCCAAGTGTTTTCGTTTTCGTTTTGTTTACAAGTAGCTTCTTCCGGCCGATTGGCCTGACCGCTTCCGCTAACCCTGTACGTGTGTGTGTGTGTGTGTGTGTGTGTGTGTGTGTGTGTGTGTGTGTGTGTGTGTGTGTGTGTGTGTGTGTGTGTGTGTGTGTGTGTACATATGAAGCAATGCGTTGACTGATGTTTGCTTGATATCTGACTCCAACACAGTTCCAAGATGATGATCGTTGCCACCTCCACTATAGGCAGGGTTCTATGGAAGCATACTGGCTTCTAATAGCTTCTAATAGCTGCGGTCTTTCTTTATGAAGCCCGGTATAACTGTGTGTCCCACACCTTGAGCTTCTAGCACATGCGAGACTGATGCTATGAAGTTGGAATCTACTTTTTTAAAGAACCTTTGAGAAGAGCAACATATCCCGTGTTTCATGGAAATGTGTGGGCATATGTGTGGGCGTATGCAGTGTCTGCTCTAGGATTGTAGGACAGCCGGGTACACGTGTACCTGGCGCAACCATTTCAACCGGGTCGGAGCTGGGTACACATGTACCTGGCGCTGTCTCACCAGCCGAGTCACATGCTTTAACTGGATGGTTGGGGCCCAATGATATAAAGGCGAATGGATAAGTCGCATTTAGAAAAGAGAGGACAGGAATTAGAAAATTACGAAAGAAGAAGAAGTATCTGACACATGCAAGCCATGTCAGTCCTTTCAAAGTTCGAAAGTGTAAAGTACCAACCGGGTCACAGGTGACCCGGTACTATATTTTCAACCGGGTCCAAGCGCCGCCCAACCGGGTGGATTACCCGGCTCACCCGGCGCTGGAGCAGACACTGGTATGTGTGGGTGTGGGGGGGGGGGGGGGTAATTCCATATACGCGTACTTGTACGATGTGTGCTCTTTTTTGTAGTGCAATGCTACATGCTCTATGCAGGTGGCAGGGATGTTGAATGTTAATACCATGTCTAGACTGCAGCAGCTGGTCCTAGGTTGCAATGTCGTCTAGATTACACTCAACTTGTGCTGCGCGGTGAATCATGATTGGGAAGTTACAGTGCAGCACCTGGTCCTAGGTCGCAATGTCGTCTGGTTACACTCAACTTGTGCTGCGTGGTGAATCATGATTGGGAAGTTTCAGTGCGGATCTGTAACAGCAACTGTGCGTATGGGTACCCGCTTTCAATAGTTCACATACTGCCGTGAATGCTAGCATTGCCGTGTGTTCCGATATACATGTGCATGCATGTGTTAGCCTTGTCTTGCATATTGTACCCTACGCACAGCAATGTAGTGTTGGTGCTCAGCTGTGGCTACTGGGCCATATACATGTACGACCTAGAAAGCCCGTCTTCCTGAAGACATTGCTGCTCTCCTGCCTGGGTCATGCATATCGCCCGAATGGACACAACCTGGATTCCACAACGCGTGTTGTTCGGGGAGCTTGAGGCAATCGGACCACAGCAAGGACCGAAGAAGCGTTGGCGAGACACGATTGTTGGTGATTTGCTTTCGCTGGGTGTTCCCGAGTCCCAGTGGTACAATCTCGCACAGGGTCGCTCGGAGTGGTGCAAGCGGTTCCATCAGCATTGTCTTCCTCTCCCGCCACCCAAGGACTTCCTCTACACATGCTACGTTTAGGAGGAATGGCGATTTGAAGTGTCACCCCAAGTACTACCCAGCTCAGCCGCCTATCACCTGCTCTGAAGATGGGGGTGCAAAAAGCCTATTTAAAAAATAAAAAGGTCAAGGGTCATCACCAAATAATTGGGGGGGCCGGGGGGGGGGGGGGAGTTTTGCCCTGTTCTGCTAATAAGTAATATGCAAGGCTCCATAGAAGGATTATAGCCGTGTGCTGTGATGTAGGCTGATCCATGGCCAAGGATTTTGCACAATGCCAAAATTGAGTACCGTATTTTTCGGAGTATAGTGCGCACCTTTGTATAACGCGCATTTCAATCTTCATTGAAGTACATGCATTTCATATTCGGAGCATAGTAATAGTGCGCACCTGCGATTTAGGGCCTAAAATAGCACATCTAAAGTGCGCACTATACTCCGGAAAATGCGGTACAATCTCAACTGGTTCACCATAAATTGTTATTGTACGACTGCATAACATTCGTGGAAACCAGGGTGCACTAAAAAAGCCTCTGGACCAAGTACATGTAACTCTTGGCTGAAATAAGAAATGCAAACCATAACCATGCACGATAACAAGACTACATAGCCCCAAAAGGGGGGTCATGTACTCTTGATGATAAGTAACTCCATGTACTGTATACATGTAAAGTACAAATTTTCGTTTTTGGTCGAGGTAGGCTGTCTGTCACCCCGAACGTTCAGAAAAAAAACTTCGTACAAACTACTTACTTTAGTTATTTCGTGCCCGCCCCCTGGGCCCTATCTTTACTTATAGAAGAGGCACCTGTGACGTGTGTTTGTCTGTGTGTTCGCTGCATGCGGAGCAGCGATGCATGCCCTGAGCACGCGAAGCGTGCGAACATTGTGCATGTAGCTAGCGGCCGCAGAAGCACTGAGCACGCTAAGCGTGCGAATCGTGTAGCCGGAAGCAGCCACAGAAGCACTGAGCACGCGAAGCGTGCGAATCGTGTAGCCACCACCACGTGCTGAGCACGCGAAGCGTGCGAACAGTATATTATTATATGTAGCGCTAGCAGACACGATCAGTACGAGTAGCAGTATACTACGGAGGATTAGCAAGACGAAATTCGCGTTCGCGTTCGCTCTCCAAGGAAAGTCGAACTCAGTGACGGAATTCGCGTTATGAGAAGGATTAGCAGACAGAATTCGCACTTGCATGACGTTGACACGACGTACATTGCGTACAGACACTACAGCGTGGTAAATTTATGACTGCCCTGACACGAATCCGCGATTCGTGTTCCGACTACTTTTCCGAACGAAAAATGCGAAAGTACGCAATCCAGTTCGCGAACTGAAAAATGTTTGCGAACGCGAACGCGAATTTCGTCTTGCTAATCCTCCGTACTAGTACTAGCAGCCGCGCGCAGAAGCACTGAGCACGCGAAGCGTGCGAATCGTGTAGCCACCTAGCCTAGGCTATAGCGCTAGGCCATAGGTAGCACTAGCAGCCGCACAAGCGCTGCGGACCACGTGAACCGTTCTCTGCAAAATCATCTGCAAAAAAAGGATACAAAACAGATCTGCACTGACTGCACTCTGCATCTGATCTGCAGTGCAAGTGAAGAGCGCATCGTGCAGCTTATGCTACCACAAAAAACTACAATTGTGTGAGTTACTTGAAGACTTGACCTAGGCGACGCTTTGCACTTTCACCTTTGTTCGTAAGTTTATGAATGTTTTGAGCCGCTTCATCCGCCACCAGGTGATGGACAACCCTGACCAGCATCCCGAAGGCGTAACAGACGTCCCTCCTTCTCCTTCCAACGATGAAGAACCTCCCTCACCAGGACTTCAGCGGTCTGGGAAAAGACGCCGCCGGTCCTCATCATAACGTCGTATTACTGTTCGCATTATTGTTCGAGGATGAAGCATCCCATCATCCCATAATTATGCTGAACACAAATACAATCTCTATGTCCAAGCTGCCACATGTACATGTACGTACATGTCTCAACATGCCTAAGGCACAATTTCCCAATAATTGGATGAGCCTTCACTATTGTAAATCTCAGTTCTATAACTGCTGATAAACAACTACCCGGTCATGCGGTGTTACACAGCAATGTGCTGTTCATGTACTTGCTTCACCCGCATGCCACGTTCGGCCAGGCAACGCTGGCCGGGTGCTGCTAGTACAGTAGTAGTAGTACCAAGAGTACATGGGGGTTATGTACTCTTGGTAGTACTAGTAGTACATGTATACAGTGGCGGGTTTAGGGGGGGGGGGCGCGTCCCCCCCCCCCCTCAAAAGTTTCGACCTAGGTTTCGAAAAATAAAAGGCAGGGCGCGCGGGGCTAGCTAGACTAACTAGATGTACTCGGGGCGCGCGCGGCCTGAAACGATCGTCCAAAAGCGGTTGCACGGTAGACCTACGCGTGCTCGAGCTGGATTGTACACACTACAGACTAGTAGTAGTACTGTAGTACAGTACAGTGTACAGTCCAAAGTCAAAGAGTTGGTGGACAAGCCGTTGATTATTCACTCTCATTGTAATATCGAAAAGTATTCTTTCTAGACCGAAGAGTGGTATATTTGGTAACATTTAATAACGATAGAAATTTTTACGATATTTCTCCAGACGTTTCGTTGTTCTGAACAACATCGTCAGTGGATAAAGAACGGATCGCGGAGGGCTTTGGGTGGTGGCACGGGTTAATAGGGAGTGATGGTGGTGAGATGAGGTGAGGTGAGAAGGTGAAGGTGGGAAATACATGTATCTACATGTAAGGTGAAGATTAGGTGCGGGTCGATACAGGTGGGTAGGAGTACACCCTTCGGGTAGAAGTGTAGGTTGGTAGAAGGTGTTGGTGTGCGTAGAAGGTGGAGTGGCGTAATGGAAGTGTCGGGTTGATAAATGTGGGAGAGAGTCTAGGTAGGGTGTGGATCAGCAATAGGTGTTGGTGTATGTGGTGGGTAGAATTGGCAAGAGGTGTGTGTGTGTGTGCGTGCGAAAAAGAGTAAAGTAGTGAGTATTGGTATGCGTGGAAGGAAGATGTGACAGAAGGTGTGCGCTATAGGCAAGGGGTGCAGGAATATTTTGAGGTGGTGGTTGGGACTAAAACAGGAGGTTGTGATTCATCTAGTGATATAATATCAGCAATAGCAGCAGTATATACAAAGAGGTGTGTGTGTGTGTATGCGTGTGGGTTTGCAAGCTTTTTGGTAGTGTAGTGTGTTGGGGGGGGGGGGGGAGAGCACCGGGTGCGGGTGTTCTTCTTCTATTGCGATCATTTTTGGATGGGTTGGCAGATAGTGGATGGTGGTAGGCAAGTTATGCCAAGAATCCAGTTCTCTTTGTATATACTGCTGCTATTGCTGATATTATATCACTAGATGAATCACAACCTCCTGTTTTAGTCCCACCCACCACCTCAAAATATTCCTGCACCCCTTGCCTATAGCGCACACCTTCTGTCACATCTTCCTTCCACGCATACCAATACTCACTACCTTACTCTTTTTCGCACGCACACACACACACACACACACACACCTCTTGCCAATTCTACCCACCACATACACCAACACCTATTGCTGATCCACACCCTACCTAGACTCTCTCCCACATTTATCAACCCGACACTTCCATTACGCCACTCCACCTTCTACGCACACCAACACCTTCTACCAACCTACACTTCTACCCGAAGGGTGTACCCCTACCCACCTGTATCGACCCGCACCTAACCTTCACCTTACATGTAGATACATGTATTTCCCACCTTCACCTTCTCACCTCACCTCATCTCA